TGTCACCAAACAAGTGTGAATTTCACCTCTTTGATTGATCAAATATGAATATTTTACAGAAGAGTGAAACCTGATGTCCCTAAACCTTCCACTTCGTTTAAAATGAATTACTTCCAACTAAGATGTGCAAACTGTGACTCATTTGCATGCTTACTACTGAATTACAATGTTTTGCATTCACTTCTCTCACAAGGGCTGGAGCACAAAAATGAATTTGTGCATGGCTGAGAGAGTGTTGTAAGAACCATTTGAGTGAGACGTCTAATCAAGGCTCTAGCTGCCTGCTCAGTGGATATAAAGCTCTCATGGCACTATGTTAAAGAAAAGCACAAGAACCATTACTAGCTTCCTGGCCAATATTTGTCCCTCAGTCGACATCACAAAGAAAGAAAACAGATTATCCAGTTCTTACCACATTGCTGTTTGTAGGAGTTTGCTCTACACAGTTAGATGCTGAGTTGTCTACATTAAAACAATGGACTACACGTCTAAAGCATTTCATTGAAAAGCACTTTAAGATGTCCAATGGTTGTGAAAAGCTCTATATAAATGCCGGTCTCTTCTTTTCTCTTACCAAGTATTCCTCTGAACTAGCCTGCCCGGGTCACTCCTAAGGTGGGTAAGATCAATGAAGATGAATGTTCTGGTCACACTCTTTTATCTTCCTCAAACACTGCCTTTCAGTTCTTCATTCCAATTGCTCTATGTTGCATAATTAGGTTCCTCTGTTTTAGTGAGAGGTTAGAACACTTCCTCAGATGCTTATAATTCCCTAAGGTCAAAGGAGACTTTAGGCACCAAAACCTTAACTATGTGGAAAGAAAATAGAGTTGACATTTTGAATCACCCAGAACTGATTTTTGAAGAAGAGTGATATTAGTTTTGAAATTTTAACTCTGTTTTCCTTCCACAAATGTTGCTAAACCTGTTGCATTTCTCCAGCAATTTCTGATTTTGAGAATTTCAGATCACCAGCATGCGCAGTTCTTTGTTTTATAAAACGTTAACTATCACTGCTGTCAGGCCAACGCTGTGATATGGAAAACATTTTCATTACAAAACGTAAGTTGGGGTTTGGAACATAACTCTTGTGACAATTCACCCGTTAAGCTACTGTGAGTATCTTATTCTAAGTGATAGATCAGGAAGAACAAAACGTCAACTCTGATAATGTTATTAGCTTGGAAAGACACTCACACTTGAATGCAGGTTCAATTACAATGTTTAAAAGGCATTTGGGTATGTAAATGAATGGGAGGGGTTTGGAGGGATATCAGCCAAATGCAGGCAAATGGGACTAGTTTCATTTAGGGACATGTTCAGTGTGGACTAGTTGGACTAAACGGTCTGTATCCATGCTGTGTGAATCTATGACTCTACGAAACATCTGTCAGCCTTCCCCTAGTTAGCTTCAGCAAAAAACTCCCAGGTAGAATGCAAAACAAATTTGTCCAATTTCAGGATTAATTGCAATTCTACCTCACTCAGTAGGCAATGTCCAAAACACACACAGCAAAGACAGCAAGGGGGAGAAAAACATAATTAATACCATGGCTTAGATCTCGCAGAAAGTGGTGACATGTAACTGTGCTCGCTATTTATCTCGAACATTACTGACCAGAAAGATCTACTCAACTGTGTGGCATAGATTACACCTTTTCCAATATTAATTTCATTTTGGAATCGACTATAATGGATCTCTGGTGCCCAATAATATTAATACCTAAGTGATACAGGCTAAGCGGGCAATCACATTAAAGATCTATCTCAGACAACAAACCTAATTTTATTATAAGAAAACAAAATAAAAGTTGTGGCAATCACATGGATAGAAGCTGAAATAACTTAATTTAAGAAACAAAATTTGATTATTTTGAAAAGTCAATGGCATCTGCCTTGTGGAATAGAGAAGTTTGAATTTCGTGTGAGTAGAAATAGATTTTCATGGCTAGAGATATCATTCGGGAGTAATTACGAAATAGTGCATCTTTACAAATCCAATTATAACAAATGCAATATGACATAATTTTATTAAAGGTCTTTAGCAATGATACTATGGTGTAAAAATTGCAAGTTTGCATCAATTCAGTGATCCTGAATTGATTTAGATATTTGAGAATTTTGATAACGCATTCTGTGGAGGAACAGAGAAATCTCTGACAGCAGCGTCTGCAATTCCACAGTTAACTGTTCATATGCAGATGCCAGATGATGCTATCAGTGTCCTGGTTAATAATAGTATGAGCACTGGCAGTTTTTTATCGTGACAACTGCACAATTCGGGGTAATATTAATCAGAACCCTCATTGAGGAGGTTTCTGGATACCTGATTAATAAGAAAGTGAAGCATAGCTAGAAAAGTATAAGTATTACCAGGAAAACTATGATTTTTAATCTGATTTTTAAGGAGTCATATGAATGCTCAATACCTTGACTTGCTCTAAGGATTAACAATTACTGATGCAAGTGGAGGGAAAGAAGAAATGAAGATTTCAATTCTCCTTGTTGCTGCATTTACAACAAATTAAAAGTTCCACAGCTATGACTCTCAACAGTAGAACATCAGTAGAACTTTTCACTTTGAAGTAAGATGACAACAAACAGAAACTGGGCAGCCTGTAATCTTTTAAATATTGATCGGTTTCTTCAACACCTAGTGTAAACTTGTGCCATCAGACTGGAGCTGTGAATACTAGGCTGGAGGGGAAACAAAGCGTTTTTTTCTGTACACACTTTCAAAACACTCTGAATAGAAGTTACCACTCGACATCATTAAAAAAGCATTAAAAGAAGAGCATCTTAATTATGTGTTCTTGTGCAAAAAGAGCCAAGAGTAGCAATTTGAAGTCAATCATAGGGTTTTTTGAGTCGGTCTATTTGTGATAAATGCTTTAAAGTTTTACTTACTCGAATGTTCCACTCAATTTCCCACTGACTTCAAAGGAAATTAAAATTGGGAGAGACACATAATGGGCAGCTGAATTGTTCAAATTACCTCCACTCAAACATGTTACAGGGATAGCCAGATGATTCCCGGTAAAGATGTTGGAGGTGAATTCCATTACTGTTATTTTTCATTCACCTCACACCACTCTAAACATTTCACAAACATTTAGACTCCTGTCCAAGTTATTGGTGGCATTGTGGATGAATCCCACACCCCTCTCCCCCCGCCAAGTATAGGATCATAAGATGGATACAACACAGAAGGAGACCATTTGGCCCATTGCATTCAGACTGAGATAGCAGGTTCCAGACAAGTGACGATTTTTTGTGAAATAAAGAGAAAGTACTGGATAAACTCAGCAGATCTAACAGTATCTGTGGAGAGTGAAATAGAGTTAATGTCTGAAGTCCATTATAACTTTTGTTCAGAATTTAAGGTTTCCTGGCCTGAGCAGGTCCAGAAGTTAGGGAAGAATGGATTTGTACTTTATTTCAGTATAACATTTCTCACAATTGATAAATTTGTCAAAATCATGCAGCCATTTTCTTGTTTGGATGAGAGGGATTATTTCTCCCACTGGGATAACAGCACTTCTCCTTTTCTGGGATTCTGTCTGAAAAACCACATGATTTCCCCTTATTCAGTTTGCTGCCTGAGCACTGGAACCTCCAAGGTGGGGAGAGAAATGAGACAGGTCCCAAATCTATCTCAGCTGAACAGGGGATTGAACCCCACACTGGTGGCACTAATCTAATCCACTTCAGTCAGCTGGGGTTTGAGTCACTTTTAAATACATGTTGTCACTTGGAACAATGGATAGTATTAGTTGAGGCTTCAACTTCTTCCCATTGCACAGCTGACAGGGAATGTCTCCCACTCTTACCACCTGCATTTGTTGGGAAGGATTTATAAGTGACCTACTCGGCCACATAATAAAAACACGCCTTCGCGGCCAAGTAGGTTTAGAGTGAGACAGGGAAGATTTAAAAGGGACCTATGGGGCAACTTTCTCACACAGACAGTGTGCGTGTATGGAATGAGCTGCCAGAGGAAGTGATGGGGTTGGTACAATTACAACATTTAAAAGGCAACTGGATGGGTACATGAAGAGGAAGGGTTTAGAGGGGTATGGGCCAAATGCTGGCAAATGGGATTAGATTAATATAGAATATCTGTTTGGCATAGATGAGTTGGCCCAAAGAGTGTGCTTCCGTGCTGTACAATGCTATGATTCTATGACTCTAAATCCGGGAGTTTCTGGCTTCGAGGTAGGAACACTACCCATTCTTTCACAAGACCTCTGCTCACACAATTCATTGCTTAGTAAAATAGAATGCAATTCACTTGGGGCAGAGAAATTGCTTATAGAAAGTTCATTATTTTCTACCTTTGGTTCATCTTTTAGCCAAATCGCGTCGTGCATGTGATTTGTAGTACATCACGGTATTCGTATGAAACTCATTGCAGTTTCAATGGCTTCAATGAGGACTTTTGCCTTTGCATTTATGTCTTTGTTGCAATAGCAGACAACATTAGTTCATATAAGCACATGAATGCATTCGTTCCTAATACTGCACAGCACAATTCCAACAGCCATATTTATTAAAGTAGGATAAATGAGCAGACAGAGTAAACTCTAGCTGTGGCACTGCCTGGGTAAATAGGTTCTTAGGGGAGGGATGTGGAAAGATAAAAACAAGAATGCCCCCAAACCTGTTTTCTGGCTGTCTTGGGTGCAAATGATAACTGGGGGAGAATTAGGCTCTAAGTGCCCAAATGCTTCCTAACCGTAGCTTTCAAAAAAAAAATTGGTAGCAATTCAACATTTGTGTAAAGATTGTGGAATTTATAAAGATAGTATTAGACTGATAATAGTCTACTGGTAACAGGAGCTTTACCTCTGACAGCTCTCTAATGTTTCCGCTGCAGACAATACAGTTTCAAAGCTCTTGACTAATATTTACCTCTGCAAAGGTGCTTCAGGTAATTAGGTATTTGAGTGCTACGTCATCTCTGGCTTGCTGCTACCTTAATGCCTGTGTTTATAAAATAGAGTGCAGACAGATATCTTGCTCCAGTAGAGGTGGGACTGCTCACAATTCAGACTGCAGCCCACTGAAAGAGGGATAGGTGGAGCTTGGAAGTCCATGGAAATATTACCACCTCATCCTAAACAATAAACCAGGTAGGACCCTTTTGCAAACCATTTTTCTTTTCTTTGCTTCAATTGCCAATTCCTCTTTTTCTTCATTCTTCAATCTGCTGCCTTTTGTTTCTTCATAGTCGATAAGAATGTGGGTTGCTGTACATCCCACTTTAAACAAGTGAGGATGTTTTCCAACTTTAGTTGTGTGCTTTCAGGACTCTGGTTGAACCTTTATCTGTTTTAGGATATGTGGGCTAATTTTGGCATATCTTTTCCCAAAAGAGTGTGTAGAGTGTAAACGCTGTACTGGTTAGTGCAAGAGGCGATTAACAGGCTCAGTAGTTTTGTTCAATTTGACATAGCAAAGGCTACGTTCCCACTTTCTCCAGGAGTGTTTGCGAGATCGGGGGAGGGGATGGTGGAGAGGGAAGGCAATTCATCAGAGCTGCATTTCAGAGTAGGAAAAAGCTAACAGTGCAGACCATCAAAATATATCAACCTGAAGGCACAGAGCTCAGATTCTCCCCACCCTTAAGGATACCAGCTGTATACTTTAAATTCCACACACAGGAAGATCTACCTGTTAGAAAACTCAAGAGAAATTATTCACTTGTTACCTTGTTGATTCACAATAGGTTCCTCAAATTAAACTGCACCAATTTTGTTCGTTCTTTTGAGAATGATGAAAACATGTTCCATTTTCCTCTGGTTACTGACCAGAGCGCAATGTTAATTAAATCTTAGGATAATCTTGGAGACATTTCATTCAGTAGTGGAAGTGAGTGGGAAATTTATCAAATAAAACAAAAACTAACATAATATTTAACTCTTTATAACTAAGACTTTTATTGTCGTAATTTATCTTTGTCTTTTAATTGATTGAAAGTTAATATAGTAAGTTATTTTTCTGTTGTAACTGTGAATAAAATGTCACACCATGTAAGAAGGCCATTTCGCCCATTTGGCTTATACTGACTCTTTCAATCATCTCATGTCCTTGCTTTCAGACGATAGCCCTGATAACTTTTCCTTTTAAATTATTTATTCGATTCACTTTTGAAAGTTAACACTGACTCTGCTTCCAGCACCGTGTCAGATACTGCATTCGTTATTCAGATGGTTTTCTGGAAGCAAATATTACTATTTGAATTGTATATTCAGGGCATTTGTTAACCAAGGTTAATGTACATTTTAATCTGAATGTCCCTGCACTATAGGAGCTCAAGGTTATTGTGTTGTTCGGACATTTGCTGCAGATCTGTCTCATTCTTTCCTTACGAAATTGACATTCTAGTGTTTGATTTTGTTTGACATGTTATTTGATTCATAACCTATTCTCTTTTGAAGAAGCATTTCACCCACGAGCCATTAGATTAAAGGGCTTAAGATCATCATCAACAAATGAACAAAAAAGACATGTTAGGTGGTATGTCTTGTTGACAGGTATTGGTAAGGATGTAAAACAACATTGAAAGCAGAACCCACAATTTTCCAAGTCAATCAATAGGAAAAAGAAGAATGGATTATTCATATGATTTTTGGGAACGAGGGAACAGGTGGAATGTCACATAGTGAGTTGCTCTTTCTAAAAACCTGTACAACACCAAGGGGTCAAGTGGCCTCTCTCTGTGAGGCAATAGTCAAGGGTTTTCTCCAACTGGAGGTTTTAGTGTGTGGCTGGTAGAGCTGGACACCCACTGAATAGTGCCACTTTGTCAGCATTCAGGCAGTGGGCAGTTACTAGATGTAGATCTGTTAGCATAAGGGTGCTAGGCACAACAATAAATGATATTCTTAAAGAGTCTTTAATGGAATAAAACATCTGAAGGTGCTTCACTTTTGCCTTAAAAACAAAATATGACACCAAACCACTTATAGAGTCATAGAGTCATATAGACCCTTTGGTCCAACTCATCCATACCGACCAAGTTTCCCAAACTAACCTAGTCCTATTTGCCAGCATTTGGCCCATATCCCTCCAAACTTTTCCTCTTCCTCTGGAGCTCATTCCACATACAAACCACTTATGGCAATTTAAATCTTGATCGAAGAGTTAGAATCCCTACAGTGTGGAAACAAGCCATTCAGCCTATCAAGTCCACACCAACCCTCTGAAAAGCATCCCACCCAGACCCACCCCACTACCCTATCCCTGTAACCCTGCATTTTCCCATAGCCAATTCACTTAACCTGCACATCTTTGGACTGTGGGAGGAAACCAGAGCACCCAGAGGAAACCAATGCAGACACAGGGAGAATGCGCAAACTCCACACAGGCAGTTGCCCGAGGATGGAATCAAACCCAGGTCATTGGTGCTGTGAGGCAGCTAACCACTGAGCCACCATGCTGCCCTTAGGTATTAAAAGAGGAAAGCAAGGACAAGTGACAGAGAGATGTGGGGAGAGAATTTCATAACTTAGGGCTTTGACACCTGAAGGTGCCACCATCAATGTTGGCAATCACCAATTGTGCTGACACTTTAACATAGAAAGTAAATAGATTCATGGGCAGTGCAAACTTCTTAACATTGAGTTGATGGACAGTGGCCACAAAACCAGTGTCCCTGGGCTGCTTGTCAGCTCTATTCCATTGATGTTCCTCAAGGAGACAACAGCAAAAGGAGAGTTCCTGTCTCCTGCATTCCTGTCATACTAATACTACATTTCAGCTAGACTGAATCCATCTCAGCATCTCCCCACTCTGATTCCACATCATCCAATGCCACATCCGCATTCTTTATTGATTCGGGGACAATTAAGCTGTTTCTGAGTTCTTACCTGCTCTCTCAACTATACAAGCAAGGAATGGCTGAGAAAGTGCTCCCAATGATTATCTACGCTCAGTGTCACACTCCTGATGGCATGGGTAAAAGTGGATAATGTTGTGCCTAATATGTGTCTAGAAGAAGTATGAATGGCAGAATAACAGCTATACAAATGCGAAATATAACAAACCAACAAAGAAAAATGAAATAAAATTGGGACTGCAGTTGTTGAACTTAACACTGAGTCCAGGAGGCAGGAAGCTGTCAAATGCCTTAATATCTTTAACTTTTATAACAACAGCAACTTATATATACGATTTACATACGTACATGCACAGTGTGGTGCACTTGCACTTACTGAATGCTGCATACATTAGTCCACGGGGATCTTGCTCTTTACAGAGATAGGAACTTCTTCAACTGAACAAAATCAATGACAACCATTCACTGATTCAATGCATAAGGCAATGCCTTAACCAATCCGAGTCAACCTGCCTGGTTCAAGTTAAACAAACCAAGCAATTAACTGTCACTCATCATCTAATTGGCACTTTCCCCATGGCAATGCCTCTACCAATCAAAGCCTACTTGTCAACCAGTGGATATTCTCCTCTGATACATTATAAAAATGTTGCTAACCCTTAATTTGGTTTTCTGGTGAATTTTCCTGACAAGTGCAAGATGAAAAGCTTCAACAAAATGTAAAACCAAAAGAACTGCAGATGCTGGAAATTAGAAACAAAAACAGAAATTGCTGGAAAAACTCAACAGGTCTGGCAGCATCTGTGGAGAGAAAGCAGAGTTAACATTTCAGGTCCACTGGACCCGAAACACTAACTCTGATTTCTATCCACAGATGCTGCCAGACCTGCTGAGTTTTTCCAGCAACTTCTGTTTTTGGTTCAACAAAATGTGCCTTTTTTTTCTCAGCAATACTCTGTTTTGTTCTACCAAATGACTGTATACATTTATACATTAATATTAACATCAATAAAATAGCTCAATTCATAGCAGCATTACAAGGAAAGAATTTGATGCTATGCCAGATAAGAAACCATCGAATGATTACAACAGGCCATTTCACCCATTGAGTTCATGTCTGCAGGAGCAACTTAGCTTGTCCCATTCCTCATCCTTCCCCTGTAACCCTCCAAATATTCTTATCCAATTCCCTTTGAAAACTACAATGAATTACTTTCATCACCCTTTCAGGCAGTGTATTCCACACTACAACCAATGATTGAATAAGGAATATAAAAGATTCTCTGTTGGCGTGGGATAGATGCTTTGTGCCTTTAATCTCTCTCAACTTTTTCTCAAATGACAACCACCATCTTCAATGATCCACTTCATCATCTCCAGTCTATCCATGCATCTCATGTCCCTGTTTTCTTGATAAATCTTGCCTTATCCTCTCTAATGCTTTTAAATAATGCCCAGAATAGGACACAATTTTTGCAGTTGAGAATGTGTTTTATAAAGGAGGTTTTAATTCTGATTATCAAAAAATTGATCAAACTGTTAAATTTAAAGAATGTCTGAAAGTAAGAAGGAGAGGCAGCGAGATGGAGAGTTTTACAGAACAAGCTCCAAAACTTAAGAGTTTGGCAACTGAATGTACAGCTGCTGATGACCCAGCCATTAAGATCAGGGATGCTCAAGCCAATGAGAGGAATGCAAAAGTCTCACTCAGAAAGTTGTGTGTCTGGAAGAGATCACCGAGATGGTGAGAGAGCAAAGTCATGGGAGGATTTGAAATAAAGGATGGGCATTTTAGAATGGAGGCAGATGAATGAGGTAATATATCCTCTCTGGTCTTAGAGTCGTAGTGTCATACAGCATGAAACAGACCCGGGTCCTCCAACAACATTTGAAACCACGAACTCTGGCAATTGTGTGAACCATCATAAGGTGATATCTGAGAGTAAATGTGAATGACTATCCCACAGGTTATTCTATTTCACAGCTGCGTACCTGAGAGTAGTCACCTGTAACATGTTAAGTCAGAACCTGCACAGCCTCATTATTGCGATGACATGTTGTTGGTGCTTCCATACCCAGTCAACATTTCTCCAAACAATTACAGCTAACACAGGTGTGAACAAACCAAAACATCTGACAATCTCTCAATCCCCTTTCATTGTCTCTCTCAGTCTCTTTCCCTGACTCTTTGTTTCTTTATGCCACTGTTTCTTTACTCACTGTCTGAACCCTTTAACTCTATTCGAAAATGTTTAAATTTTGATTCAGCCCTACCCTAGGTTGCTCTACATA